TTCGGGCCCAACCTTGGGTTCAGAGGCGCTGCTTCAGCTTGAGTAGGGAAATCTGATGCAAGGCAGATTTCAATTCAAGTGTTTATGGCCTAGGGCGTCGGGCTGTTGGGCTCTCTAGGGTTCGCGACAGAGGGCCAAATAGTGACTTCCAGTCCAACCACACCGGAAACCAGCCCCACAAATCCGAACTTCCAATCTTTGCGGGTTTACGGTTTAGCGGGCTTGCGAAGCCCTAAATCTTGACACTCCAAACCTGGAGCCTTCAATCCCACAACCCGAAGCTCTAAACCCCAAACCCGTAAATCCCAAGCCCTGAGCCCTATGATTCGGAGCTTCGAGGCTCGTGTACAGCAGCTGCGAGTAGATCCACCAAAGAAACCCCTAACACAACCCTAAACCTTAAACCAGCCCTCAAAAAACGTACCCGCAAAAACACTACAAACCCTTAAAAACCTTAAGCCTAAACCCAACAGAAGCGAAAACAAAAAGCCTCAACCCAACAGAAGTCCCTTAACAAGACTACAAGCCTAAAACGCCCTTAGGCCCCAAAAAAAAACACCAACAAAAGCCTCAGCATCCCAGACAAACCCCAACCCTAAACCCTAAACCCTGAGCCCTAAGCCCTGAGCCCTCAGCTCTACTAAGCCCTAAGCCCCGAACCCTAAACCCTAAACCCTAAACCCTAAACCCTAAACCCTAAACCCTAAACCCTAAACCCTAAACCCTAAACCCTAAAACCTGGGGGAGAAACCTGGGAGCCATGGCTGCGCATGCGGAGCTTGGCCCCTGGCTTGGGCGTATCGAAGCCCTACAGCGGCCGCTGGGCGGGTTTAGGGTTTGGGGTTGGGGTTTTGGGGTTTAGGTTTTAGGGTTTGGGGTTTAGGGTCTTGGGCCTGGGTTTAGGGTGTAGGGTTTAGGGTTTGGGGTTTAGGGTTTAGGGTTTGGCGTCTGAGGTTTAGGGTTTGGGGTCTAGGGTTTAGGGTTTGGGGTTTAGGGTTTGGGGTTTGTTTAGGGCTTAAGGTTTAGGGTTTATAGTGCCTTTACTTGCTTAGCCAGTAAGTGAACTTTTAAACTTTCCGGGTTTCCTGATTCAGTAGGAGCAAGAAAGTTTAACTTTTTCTCCTTGGTGATTGGAGAAGTAAGTTTAGGGTTTAGGGTATTTGGGTTGAGGAAACTTAGGCTTTCTGGTTTAGGGCTTGATCGGGCGTACGTTTACGGCAAGAGGGTTTTGGGTGTGGAGGAGCAGCCTCCAGATGGGGTCGTCGGCATAGTCCCTAAACTAATCCCTAAACCCTAAACCCCAAACCCTAAACCCTAAACTCTAAACCCTAAACCCCAAACCCCAAACCCTGCTGGCATGAGCCAGTTCAAGAACCCCCAGCCCTAAGCCCTCAGTAAAGGGGTCCCGCAGACAGAACCCTCCCCCCCCCCCCCCCCCCCCCCCCCCCCCCGGGGCAAAAAAACAAATTAAAAAGCCCCAAAGGCCCAAACCATACGCGCGTTCACTCTGAAAGTTAGTGTTTAGGGTTGGGTTTAGGGTTTAGGGTTTAGGGTTTAGGGTTTAGGGTTTGGGGTTTAGGGTTTAGGGTTTAGGGCTTAGGGCTGAGGGTTTAGGGTTTAGGGTTTAGGGTTTAGGGTTTAGGGCTTAGGGCTTAGGGCTTAAGGTTTAAGGTTTAGGGTTCAGGGTTCAGGGTTTAGTGTGAGGGTTTAGGGTTTAGAGTTCAGGGTTAAGGGTTAGGGTTTAGGATCCCCAAACCCCATGAACCCCTAAACCCAGAACCTCAATACCCGCTGGAAGCCTGCACATCAAAGGATGCATTGGGGTCAGTGCACAGAGATGCCAACCATGCTGGCGGATTCCTGGTTTAGATCTAAGACCTCAAACCCATCAGGGTTTAGGGTTTAGGGTTTAGGGCTTAGGGTTTGGGGATTGGGGATTGGGGTTGAGTGTTTCAGGATTACAAGGTCTAGGGCATGTGGGGTATAGGATAGCATAGGGCTTGTCAAAGCTACCTGGGGCTGCCGTGGCGCTTTGGGGTAAAATGGAGGTGCCCGCAAAACCGTCGATTTCAGTACTGAGAAGCAAAATCCTAGGTTCTCCCCTGCGTTCTAAGCTTTTTGATGGCTTTGGGGGGTTCCTCGGGGACGTGGGTTGATCAAGGTTGGGGGTCTTCAGGGATTTGGAGTTCAGGGCTTTGCAGGGTTGAGAGTCTGGAGCTTGAGAGTTTGGAGTTTAGTGCTGCAGGGTTTAGAGTTTGGTGTTAAGGTCTCGGGTTCGGGCTCTGATGTGTTTCCGTACTGATTTAGTCATCAGAGCCTGGCTAGAGAGACACTTTTGGGAGGGCTGACAGGTGTACCTGGGTCTCCACTGTATTTTCCTTACATACCTAAACCCTAAACCTCTTTGAAGACACGTCGAGATTTTAGTGAGGGTATCCTCCATTCCTCAGTCATGAGGCCCCGTGTCTTCGGAGGGCCTAAGATCATCGCAGCTATGGGAAGGGATGGGAAGGGCAGTGGAAAAGCCACGAGTCAGCCCATCGAGCCTCGTTCCAGTGTAGTCTAAGGCACGAGGAAGGAGCTTCGGACCTCTTCAGTTCTGGTTTAGGGTTTAGGGTTTAGGGTTTAGGGTTTAGGGTTAGGGTTTAGGGTTTAGGGTTTAGGGTTTAGGGTTTAGGGTTCTCTCAGCCCGAAACCCCTTATAAACCCTTCACATCGGCAGCCGAGGCCCTGCATCGACCCCACCTCTCCGAGACCCCAAAGCCGATACTCTGCAGCCCCAAGCCTCGGCGCAGCAAGGATTGGCTCTACCTGGGCGGGAACCTGGGTGGTGATGAGAACTGGCAGCGATGGCTGACGGCTCAGGGATGTAGGATTCAGCATCCTCCGCAAAGTGGGCCCCCCCCTGCTCCCAAAGCCCGAGTGCCTAGAGGCCTTCTCGCCCGAAAGTTACGACCCTCAGCCCTGATCATATAAGCTATGTACCCAACAGATACATAGTTTTCGCCCGAGACAGTAATTCCACCCCAAACCCTGCGTTGCCTCCACTCTACTTGCACTTTCTCTGCTGATGAGAAGTAGGGTTCAGCGTTTCGGGTTGTGGGTATCTTCCCTATAAACCCTAAACCCTAAACCCTAAACCCTAAACCCCAAACCCTAAACACCAAACCCCAAACCCCAAACCCTAAACCCTAAACCCTTTTTTAACCCTGTAGAAACGGCGTCCATGTTGAAGCCCATCTGACTGGAATGTGTGTGAAGGTTGATATCGTAGCTACATAGGGGTTCATAAGGTGGGGTAGCTATTTGCGACGGCTAGGGTTCAGAGTTTGTTCAGGTTCTTTGGGGTCTAGGGTTTAGGCCCTAAACCCTAAACCCTAAACCCTAAACCCTAACCCTAAACCCTAAACCCTAAACCCTAAACCCTAAACCCTAAACCCTAAACCCTAAACCCTAAACCCTAAACCCTAAACCCTAAACCCTAAACTCTAAACTCTATGTCTCGGTGGCTTTGGGACTTGGGCCTCGCGAATCTGAGACCCCAAAGCCTGCTAAACTCGAAGCGGCGGGCCATAAGTTCCCAGTTCCCCACTTAGAGGTTCGTGGGTTCCTAAACCCTAAACCCTAAACCCTAAACCCTAAACCCTAAACCCGAAACCCGAAGCCCTGAGCCCTACACCCTAGACCCTAAACCAACATGCGTGAGTAGGGGTCTTACTATAGCTAGTTACTGAACACTTTCAGTGCCTAAAACTTTCAGTGAGAACTACCCATGATTCTCCAGATCCTGAGCCCTGACCCTTTCTAAGCCCTTTTGGACATCCATGCGAAACTGGCAGAGCTCAAAAATCCCAAACCCCAAGCCCCAAACCCCAAACCCCAAACCCTATATCCTAAACCCTAAACCCTAAACCCTAAACCCTAAACCCTAAACCCTAAACCCTAAACCCTAAACCCTAAACCCTAAACCCCAAACCCTGGACTAGAAGCTGATCCAGGCTCGAAGGCGAGGGCCGCGATGTGACACACATCGTAAATTGCGTCGCCGCGGAGGTGAACTATCCCGTTCCGGCACGCCCCGGAGGTTTAGGGTTTAGGGTTTAGGGTTTGGGGTTTGGGGTTTAGGGTTTAGGGTTTAGGGTTGGTCAGGGAGAGACAATCCTACACGTAGGATTCAGGACCTTAGGGACTTAGGGCTTTTTACCTAAAATGGTCCCTGAATGTAGTCCCTCACCTTCTTTAAAGTTTAAAGGGTTCTGATTTATGGGTCCTTGGCTTTTGTGGGGCATATGAGGGGGTATAGAATACTAAGGGACCGTGAAACTACCCTAATGGCTTGAGGCTGTTATTTTGTGAGGGTTTCAAGGGGCTTTGAAGGCTTTGAATGGTGTGAAGCTTTAGGTGATAATAAGCCTGGTTGAAGGGCTTAAACCTCAGATGGGTTGGGGCGTTTAGGGCCTTTAGGGTTTAGGGTTTAGGGTGTTTTAGGGTTTAGGGTAAGTCGCACCGGCTAGCTCTTTTGTATTTTGCAGCATCCCCTCCTCGAGGGATGCCAGGCCAGGGGTGGGGGGGGGGGGGAACCATAGTACCACTAAGGCCCCCACTTGTTAGGTTCCTTAAGTGTAGGTTTGTTTTTCCAAGCAGTAGTCATCGTAACTGTAGTCATTGAAATCATAGAGCACATAGCAATCGTGGTAATCGTCGTCATGACCGTAGTGCCGACATACAAGCGCGCAGGATTTGGCCCTGGATTTAGTTAGCGGCGGCAAACCATGACATGCTCTCCAAAGTTGTTCTTCTACTGAGGTCTACGGTGCATTCTGACTTTTTGAAGGGTGTCATTGCCTTGGGGACCACCCGATCCCCGAAAGAATTTATGGTTCAGATACCTGAATGGGAATTGAAGTGGTCCAGGATTCCCTAAGCTCATAGCTTAGGGTTTAGGGTTTAGGGTTTAGCTTTGGGTCAGTTATCTGGTAAACTCGCTCAGCAGAGACAGCATGGCTCGGATCGCCTTGCGCGTTTCGGGCAGCCTTTGCTGCCTTCTTGGCCTTGGGTTTTTGGGCTTCGCTATCTATCTTCAGGCCGTTCCGTGCCCTCTCAAAACGTGCTTTGTTGTTGATGGGAAGACATCCTTCAGCTACACTCACTCTTACGGGGAGTCAGGGAATGGAGGACCTGAATGGTATGCGCCCGCTGGTACAAGTCCGGCGGTTTTTGCTCAGCAGTTGACCTTCCAAAATCTCACAGAGCTGGGGCCCCATGAACACTGCGGGTTCATCCAGCGCCATGGGCAGCAACGGTTTGGGTTGGCTCATGTGGGCTCCTTCAGTTGTACCTGCGCCGAGCCATGCGATGCGCCACCCAGTTCGGGCTACTACATTCCGCCACACCGCTTTGTCAGTAGCATTCCCAGTTGGATCTGGGATTCGGAGAGGGAGTACATGACACACTACGTCGACGCCTTTCTCCCCTTCCTCACTGTGGTTGCAGTCGCTGGGGGCCTCCTCCTGCTGATTCTGGGCGCATGTCTTCTCTTCTGTGCCTGGAAGCATCGCGCAGTGGGCAAGCTCAATGCGGGAAGCGGATGCCACGTCTATCAGGGACAGGGGGAGGCAGGAACCCGCCAGTCTGAGCACAGCAGTGAAGCGTGACCGGCTTCTTGCGGTATATTGCGTCTCAGTAAGGGTTTAGGGTTTAGGATGTAGGGTGCACAGGGATGAGGTTCAGTGTGTGTAGGGTCAGGGTGTGTAGACTTTAGGGTTTAGGGTTCAAGGTTCAAGGTTTATTGTGCAAGGCTTGCCTGTCGGAGTTTTAAGGGCGAGTCTAACGCTTGTTTTCTCGATGAAACATGACTGTCTGTGTATGGGCGCGTGACAATCTCGCGCCCATGCTGGGGTGGATCCAAAGCACAGGATCCGGTTGTTTGCGGGTTGTCGTCAGGAGAATATCTTTTTCATGTTGGCTAGGAAGAACTGCTTCTGTTTTGATGCCCAATCCACTCTCGAAATTCGGCCCCCTGATGCGCAAAATTGCCAGGGAGACTGTCACTGAGAAAGACACGATGCGAAACGGGCGAGTGTCAAGTTCGAGGAAGCGTTAGATAGCAAGGCCTCCAAAGTGACCAGAAACTTGCAACTGATATTGTCAACCCCGAACCCTAAACCCTCAACCCTCAACCCTGAACCCCCAAGCCCCAATCTGACGCCAGCGATGTTTGCGCAGCGCCAGCCATTTGTGTAGGGTTTAGCCCTGAACCCCAAACCCTGCTTCTTGCGTTTTGGGCATTTCAGGTTTAAGAGCTTATCATGGGTTCCCTTGCTACCCGCCTCTATACTACCCTCCCTAGGTTCCCCCAATAATTAACGCGATTTAGGGATAATTAAGCCGAATTACGTTTATTTAAGGGTTTGGGGGAGTAGCCCTAAACCCTAAACCCTAAACCCTAATCCCTAAACCCTAATCCCTAATCCCTAAACCCTAAACCCTAAACCCTGTATAGAGGGGGGTAGTAGAGGAACCCATGAGTTTCGGGGCTTCCGCGCTTGGGTTTGTTAGGCGGGGTCTCGAGCTTCTCCAGGGCGCAGCCTTGGATGCTGAGGCTTATTTATAGTAGGTTTGCTGGGGTTTAGGGTTTAGGGCTTAGGGCTTGGGGTTTAGGGCTTAGGGTTTAGGCTTGATGGCCTGAGTCTTTAAAGTCTTGAAGCTTTCCTTGCGTAGACTCAGGTTTTTGGTTTTCTTCTTCATCGTCCTCAAGTCTTTAAAAACTGCAAAGCCCCACACCCCTAAAATCCCGCAACCCTAAACCCTAAACCCTAAACCCTGGAAACATAAATCGCTCCCAACCGTCCGATCCATGAGCCAGGCGAAGGTGCAGATGCTTCGCCTGCGTGCCGAAGACGATGCCACATATGTCGCCGCGCAGCACTGTGCGGATTGAGGGTTTCGGGGAGTGTGTGTGTGTGTGTGTGTGTGTGTGTGAGTGTGTGCCTTACACTTGAAACCCTAAAACCTGCCACAAAATCGCTACACCCCGGAAGCCTTCACACCAAGCTCCTGCACCTAGAGCCCTAAACCCTTCAACCCTGAAATCCCGAGATCCTGAACCCCTAAACCTTACGCCCAAAGTCCCAAATCCCCAAATGCTTAACACGCTTGAGTCCTCAAAACCTGATACCCCGCAGCCCCTACGCCCCAAACCACCCTAAACCCTAAACCCTAAACCCTAAACCCTAAACCCTAAACCCTAAACCCTAAACCCTAAACCCTAAACCCTAAACCCTAAACCCTAAACCCTAAACCCTAAACCCTAAACCCTAAACCCTAAACCCTAAACTAGAGCGAGCTGCGGGTCCTGCGATAAGCAGCAGCGAGCGATACCGCGTGGCGCCAGCCCGCGGACGAGCCCGAGCCGTCCGGCGAAGCCTGGCGAGGGCTCGGGGCCAGTGCGCGCGATGAGCGCGGCCCACGCATAGAAGGGTGGAACCCGCGTGCCAGCGTCAGTCTGGCCCCAAAGAGAATAACCCTAAACCCTCGGTTTTAAAGTTAAAACCACGCATCCTTCCCCCGTAAGGGGCCTTCCCCGTAAGGGGCCTTCCCCGTAAGGGGCCTTCCCGTAAGGGGCCTTCCCCGTAAGGGGCCTTCCCCGTAAGGGGCCTTCCCCGTAAGGGGCCTTCCCCGTAAGGGGCCTTCCCCGTAAGGGGCCTTCCCCGTAAGGGGCCTTCCCCGTAAGGGGCCTTCCCCGTAAGGGGCCTTCCCCGTAAGGGGCCTTCCCCGTAAGGGGCCTTCCGCGTAAGGGGCCTTCCCCGTAAGGGGCCTTCCCCCGTAAGGGGCCTTCCCCCGTAAGGGGCCTTCCCCGTAAGGGGCCTTCCCCGTAAGGGGCCTTCCCCGTAAGGGGCCTTCCCCCGTAAGGGGCCTTCCCCGTAAGGGGCCTTCCCCGTAAGGGGCCTTCCCCGTAAGGGGCCTTCCCCGTAAGGGGCCTTCCCCGTAAGGGGCCTTCCCCGTAAGGGGCCTTCCCCGTAAGGGGCCTTCCCCGTAAGGGGCCTTCCCCGTAAGGGGCCTTCCCCGTAAGGGGCCTTCCCCGTAAGGGGCCTTCCCCGTAAGGGGCCTCCCCGTAAGGCCCGAAATCTGGAAAACTAGGGTGTCATTTCCGCTATATGACTTCTTTATAAAAAATCGCATTTTTACTACGGGTCCGCCAAATCCTGGGGCAGGGCCTTTAGAGTGACCCCCGCCAGAGCACCCCCACCAGAGCACCCCCGCCACAGCATCCCGCCACCGTAAAGGGGCCTTCCCCGTAAGGGGCCTTCCCCGTAAGGGGCCTTCCCGGTAAGGGGCGTTCCCCGTAAGGGGCGTTCCCCGTAAGGGGCGTTCCCCGTAAGGGGCCTTCCCCGTAAGGGACCTTCCCCGTAAGGGGCCTTCCCCGTAAGGGACCTTCCCCGTAAGGGGCCTTCCCCGTAAGGGGCCTTCCCCGTAAGGGGCCTTCCCCGGAAGGGGCCTTCCCCGTAAGGGGCCTTCCCCGTAAGGGGCCTTCCCCGTAAGGGGCCTTCCCCGCAAGGGGCCTTCCCCGTAATAGGCCTTCCCCGTAAGGGGCCTTCCCCATAAGGGGCCTTCCCCGTAAGGGGCCTTCCCCGTGAGGGGCCTTCTCTGTAAGGGGCCTTCCCCGCAAGGGGCCTTCCCCGTAAGGGGCCTTCCCCATAAGGGGCCTTCCCCGAGGGGCCTTCTAAGGGGCCTTCCCCGTAAGGGGCCTTCCCCGTAAGGGGCCTTCCCCGTAAGGGGCCTTCCCCGTAAGGGGCCTTCCCCGTAAGGGGCCTTCCCCGTAGGGGCCTTCCCCGTAAGGGGCCTCCCCCGTAAGGGGCCTCCGTAAGGGGCCTTCCCCGTAAGGGGCCTTCCCCGTAAGGGGCCTTCCCCGTAAGGGGCCTTCCCCGTAAGGGGCCTTCCCCGTAAGGGGCCTTCCCCGTAAGGGGCCTTCCCCGTAAGGGGCCTTCCCCGTAAGGGGCCTGCCCCGTAAGGGGCCTTCCCCGTAAGGGGCCTTCCCCGTAAGGGGCCTTCCCCGCAAGGGGCCTTCCCCGCAAGGGGCCTTCCCCGTAAGGGGCCTTCCCCGTAAGGGGCCTTCCCCGTAAGGGGCCTTCCCCGTAAGGGGCCTTCCCCGTAAGGGGCCTTCCCCGTAAGGGGCCTTCCCCGTAAGGGGCCTTCCCCGTAAGGGGCCTTCCCCGTAAGGGGCCTTCCCCGTAAGGGGCCTTCCCCGTAAGGGGCCTTCCCCGTAAGGGGCCTTCCCGGTAAGGGGCCTTCCCCGTAAGGGGCCTTCCCCGTAAGGGGCCTTCCCCGTAAGGGGCCTTCCCCGTAAGGGGCCTTCCCCGTAAGGGGCCTTCCCCGTAAGGGGCCTTCCCCGCAAGGGGCCTTCCCCGTAAGGGGCCTTCCCCGTAAGGGGCCTCCCCGTAAGGCCCGAAATCTGGAAAACTAGGGTGTCATTTCCGCTATATGACTTCTTTACTAAAAAATCGCATTTTTACTACGGGTCCCGCCAAATCCTGGGGCAGGGGCCTTTAGAGTGACCCCCGCCAGAGCACCCCCACCAGAGCACCCCCGCCACAGCATCCCGCCACCGTAAGGGCCTTCCCCGTAAGGGGCCTTCCCCGTAAGGGGCCTTCCCCGTAAGGGGCCTTCCCCGTAAGGGGCCTTCCCGGTAAGGGGCGTTCCCCGTAAGGGGCGTTCCCCGTAAGGGGCGTTCCCCGTAAGGGGCCTTCCCCGTAAGGGACCTTCCCCGTAAGGGGCCTTCCCCGTAAGGGACCTTCCCCGTAAGGGGCCTTCCCCGTAAGGGGCCTTCCCCGTAAGGGGCCTTCCCCGGAAGGGGCCTTCCCCGTAAGGGGCCTTCCCCGTAAGGGGCCTTCCCCGTAAGGGGCCTTCCCCCGTAAGGGGCCTTCCCCATACTAGGCCTTCCCCATAAGGGGCCTTCCCCGTAAGGGGCCTTCCCCGTAAGGGGCCTTCTCTGTAAGGGGCCTTCCCCGTAAGGGGCCTTCCCGTAAGGGGCCTTCCCCATAAGGGGCCTTCCCCGTAAGGGGCCTTCCCCGTAAGGGGCCTTCCCCGTAAAGGGCCTTCCCCGTAAGGGGCCTTCCCCGTAAGGGGCCTTCCCCGTAAGGGGCCTTCCCCGCAAGGGGCCTTCCCCGCAAGGGGCCTTCCCCGTAAGGGGCCTTCCCCGTAAGGGGCCTTCCCCGTAAGGGGCCTTCCCCGTAAGGGGCCTTCGACGTAAGGGGCCTCCCGTAAGGCCCGAAATCTGGAAAACTAGGGTGTCATTTCCGCTATATGACTTCTTTACTAAATCACCTGAAAATCGAGCACTTTGGGGCCGATCCTGGGGTACCCCTCATTTGGGCCTTGTTTGGGGGCCTTCCTGGCAAGCGGCCTTCCCCCATAAGGGGCCCGCAAGGGGCCTTCCTCGTAAGGGGCCTTAAGGGGCGTAAGGGGCCTTCCCCGTAAGGGGCCTTCCCCATAAAAAGTCTTCTCCGTAAAGGGGCCTTCCCCGTAAGGGGCCTTCCCCGTAAGGGGCCTTCCCCGTAAGAAACCTTCCCCGTAGGGGGGCCTTCCCCGTAAGGGGCCTTCCCCGTAAAGGGGCTTTCCCCCTAAGGGGCCTTCCCCGTAAGGGGCCTTCGCCGTA